TACAAATTTAAATATTTTCACAATTATATTAATTATTTCAACACTTTTATCAAATTTATAAAATATATACTTTTATATATAAAAAATAAAAATAATATAGTATTAAAGGATATATATATATATATATATATATATATATATATATATATATTATTCATTATGTAAATCTTAATTTCAATAATAATCTAACAAACTCTTGTATATTTTAACAATGAAGCTTTCATAACTATTGACTAAAAATAATGTTCACTATCATCATATAAATCTCAGAAGGATATTTTTATAATTTTTTTATAGAAATTACAAGAAATAATTTTTCTACAAATTTAAACAATTTTTATAAGAAAATTTATAAAAAACAAATAATTTTTTAGTATTGATTGATTCAATCTTATAAAATTATATTTCTATATATATATATATATATATATATATATATATATTATAATGACATTGTATATAGGATTTCATCTAATGACATCATTAAAAATTATTCTAATATTATATTAAAAATAATAAAATGTCTAATTCAACACTACAAAATAAAAAATGAAATTATTTCCTAATGAGCTAATTAATATTTATATTTATCATTTAAAAGTTCACATAATTATGAGATTATATATAAAATTGAGTATACTAAATACAAATATCTAATATAATATATTTTAACCATTTTTATTTTTACTTTTTTATAATGATTTCAATAATAGTAAACTTCCTATCTAGACAATATTATTTAAATTAATAATCTAATTATTAAGTGTTTGTCGAGAATATATTAAAGTATTGGGAGTAAAAGAAACACATCCTTAATCAATGTATGAACCATACTGGATTGTCCAATGAATGTTGTCATTATTGTCAGGATGCTCTTTTTTTATAACTAAATGTCCCATGATGGTATTGAAGGATCTACTTTTACTGGATTCGATCCACCAAACCTTGTTTTGTTATTTGCAAAAATATAGATATTGGTTTACTTTTCGTCCCAAAGATAATATATTTAGGATTTGTACTTATCAACAATATCATAAGAAAATCATAATAGAATTGAAAATTAAAAAAAATGTTTTAAAGCAACCTACTACTCGTAGGTTTATAATTTAGGATTTACCCAGATATAGTCTTGGATCATGAAACCTAGATCTTGCTTTACTTATGTTTAGCACTTTTCATGAGTGAAACATTTATGGTGTGCTTAATAGTGGTTTTAATACTCCATGCCACATGTCTAATAATGTCTATAAGGTCATAGCTCTCACATTTTACATGAAAAAGAAAAGTTGAGAAGGAGGAGTTAAATACAAAGTATAATTACATTATTAAAAATATTTATAATTGAATTTGTTTATCTTGCTTTTTCAAAAAAAAAATTTCAACCACAAAAATCTAAAAATAGGAATTTCATACTCCAAGCACAAGAACACTCTTACAAGTGGTGGAGGAGATAGGTAATTTAAATAACAGAAAACCAAATATTTTAAAATTATATTTAAAATAACTAAAAAAATAAAAATAAGACCAAATATAATTTTATTGTTTTGAGCAAATTCAAAATTTATAAAATCAATAATTAATTGAATGAAATCTTATTCATAAATCTATTAATAAATGAATAAAATAATAATTAATATATTACTTATGTATAAATTCTCAAACTAAGAAAGTTGTTGATTTATATAAGTATTTTCTCTCACTGCTAGATGATATTTGAATGTTTATTTATATATTTGATAATTAACCTTATTATTATTGAGATTTTAGGATTTTTACATGTATAAAACTACTCTCTCAATATTTTTTTATTGTACTCTTTAGATAAAATAAAAGAATAATAAAATATCAAATATTAATAATATATTAGTTTTAATTATCTAAATCAAAATAATAATAATAATAATATAATATTTTATTCTTATTTTGAATAATAATATTTTTTATATATCTAATTTAAATAAAAATAATAATATAAGATATATTACCAACACATTTAATTAATCATGGTTCTCAAGCCCTAAGTATTTCTGATCGTGGTGTTTCACCCACATAGGGATGACAATTAAACTCGTACTCGTGGGGATCGACCCGTCTCCGCCATGAGTTTAACGGAGAAAACTCGAGTTGACCGGGGACGGAGCGGAGATAGGTAATGCAATTCTCACCCCGACCCCGTCTCTGTTCAGACTTTATATTTAAATTTTAAAATATTAATATTTTAAAAGTATTTTCTTTTCTTTTTCTATTACATATAAGGTCATTTTTTTATATTTGACCAATTTTTTTTCTTCTACCCACTTTTTAATTTTTTTGTCTTTTTTTTATATCAATTAATTTATTATATTATTTTTTTTCTCTTACCTTTTAGTTTTTCACATTTCCTTAATCTCTCCCATCAATTTGTTTTTTTTTCAATCTTTTCAACCAATTTGATGAACACAAAGTTAATTTTTTTATTCTTTATTTTTTTCTAAATATTTTACATAAATCTTAGTAGTAGCTAATATTATTTTATTTATAATTTATATTTATTAGGTTTTATTATGTCATATTTTTTTATCTTATTATTCTTATTTATCATATATCAAATTTTATCTTAATAAAATAATTATATTTTAAAAGATTAAAGGAATTGATAATTTAAACTTTTATTATTTCGAACTAATTAAATAAGAATTAACTTATTAAATATTTCCTTATAAATTATATATTCCATACTTTTAAATGACAACTTAAAAATGAATTAACTTATATATATAATCAAATGTTTCAATACAAGTATTATAATAATAATGTTATAAATATTTAAATATTTAAATACAGTATTATAATAATAATAATAATGTTATAAATAAAAATGATTAAATATTTCTTTTATATATATATATATATATATATATATTTTTAATATAAATATAATAAATTAAAATGTATATTTAATTAATAATAATTATAAATTATAAAATATAAATATTTATTTATATATAAAAAATAGATAGTAAAATTAATTTATTATAAATATAATTATCTTTTTAAAAATAATATAGATCGAAAATAGGACGAGAAACCCGAAATCCAACAATGAAGACTTAATTTTTAACTCCAACGAAGATAAAAATAAAAACAAAGATGATTAAAAATATCGAGACGAAATCCAAGAGATAAAACCCGCCCCATCCCCCCATCCCCCCTTACACCCACACCATATCTTATCATATAATAAAATTTTAATATTTGAAAGACAACCTATTCATGAATCGACGAGTCTTGGTCCCTACGGACATCATACATCAGTCATTGTTAGAATTGTAAAATTAACAATGTTTATTTTTCTTAGATAGTTAATTTTTTTAAGAAAATATCTCACGTGGGAAATATTTTAATAAATAACTTTTTTTCACAAAGTTCTATTAAAACTAAATCAAGTCAATAAATTTTAAGTATTTTTTATAATCATATATAATTCTCAAGATGAACAGGAGATATAAAATATTTTAGTTATTGGATTGAATGAATTGCTTAACAGTAAACATAAGAAATTATGTTCTCTATTTGTTTTTTTCCCATATAAATGTGAGATATATTTTAGTTCACGTGAATTTTTCTTCAACTGACTAGAACTTTACGTGGTATATTACAAGTTTTAAATTTTCATTTGTAATTATAAGATTTTTTATGAGAAGTTTGACGAAGGAATCGTCTTAATAATTTAATCACTATTACAATCTACATCGGTTTTGGAAGGCTTTGAACGTCGGTTCTATTAAACCGATATTGAAAATATAATTTTTTAAATCAATAATTTTTATTTATTTACAACAAGTCTAAGTCCCCCAACTCTTTATATTATAATTTTTAGAAGTTTATTAAATTTTTAAGAGAATTGTCATTAGCAGGATTTGAACTCGATACCTTAGAGTTAGAGACTGATACTCCAACCACTAAACTACTAACATTTTCTCGATAATAACTTACAAATAAATTATATTTATATACAAATAAATATATATCCGTGTAAATATATAAATACAAATATATTTATATATTTTGATATATTTATATAATTATATATTTATATGTTGGATGTGACGGCACACTCGAAGGTGAAAGTGTATGTCGAGTGAGTTTTCAAAATTTGATGCTAAATTTGTGAGCATATATCTTTATATGAGTTTGTAATTTAATGAAAAAATATAATCTTTATAAATTTATTTATATAATGATATAAAATAAATTTGGGAAACGCGTCATTCACTCTCAAGCGAAAAATACCAATTTTCGCTCAAGCGAGACTTGAGCGAGTGAATTTCCGTGAGCTTTAACGTATTTTCACTCAAGCGAGAGTCAATCTCACTTTCACTCTCGATCGAAAAATACCAATATAATTTATTTGTAAGTTATTATCAAAAAATTATAGTAGTTTAGTGGTTGGGATATTAACTTCCAACTCTAAAATACTCGGGTTCAAATGTTGTTAGTGACAATTCTTTAATTTAAGTGAATTTTTGGCTGAAAAAAAAGTTTCTAGAAAATATATACAAATAAATATATATTTACATGGATATATATTTATTTGTATATAAATATAATTTATTTGTAAATTATTATTAGAAAATTATAGTAGTTTAGTGGTTGGAGTATCGGTTTTCAATTTTAAAATGAAAAAATGAAAAGAAAAAAACAAAAAGACTTTCAACGCTCGGTTCATATGGGAACCGACGTGGAAAGTACTTTCTACGTCGGTTGACTAAAAACCAACGTAGAATGTGTTTAATATTCAACTTTCAACGTCGGTTCATCTGGGAACCGATGTGGAAAGTACTTTCTACGTCGTCTCAGCTATAACTGACGTTAAATGACGACGTAGAAAACATATTTTGCAGTAGTGAATGTTTTAAAATTTTTAGTCGAGGGTTGTGTCAATTTCTTATATAAGTTGAACTCATGTCTCATTGGAATTACCTCTTTCCCAGTAAAATCCCTCTCGAAAGATCTAACAAATGGTATCAGAGTCGAACATTGATCAGTAGTAGGTCAAGTAAGTGTGTCTTGTTAGGCTGATTGTTAGAAGGACCACTAACGAGCTCGATAGGATGTATCAATGTGGAGAAATTCACACTTGAGGAGAAGATGGTTGAGAATCCAAGTGTGATTCTAAGTCATATTGTGTTAGAATGAGAAAGTGTCCCATTATGGTGATTGTTGAAAGGACCACTAGTGAACTCGAAGGGATGTATCAATATAGAAGAATTTACACTTCAGAGAGAAATTATTAGGAATCTAAGTGTGATTCTAAGTTACATTGTATAAGAATGAGAAAATTGAACATTATATAAAAAACAAAGACCCATAACTCAATGTCATAAGATTTTAGGTTGAGGATGATATCAATTCCTTACATGAATTAGGTTCATATCTCATTGGTGTTATTCTCTTCAAGAAATTCCTTGAAAACACTTGGATTATCGAATATGTATGAAAAAATTGTGAATTATTGAAATTAATAACTATAAAGAAAAACAATATCCTTTAATTTAAATATCAAAATTAGGATTTTAAGAATAAATCTATTACATATGAATTATCCATTCTTATATATTATTGAATATTTACAAAAAGTTAAATATTAAGTTATTCTAATATCATTATTAAATATTAAAAAAATATTTATAAATAAAATAATGATCAAACATAAAAAATATGATATTATTAAATATTAAAAAAATATTTATAAATAAAATAATTATCAAACATAAAAAATATGATATTATATTTAACTTAAAATTCTTATTTACATGTATATTTTGAATTTCAACCAAAGATTGAACCAAGTTATCTCGATACATATAGGGAAAAAAATTATCCTACTTACTTAGAATTCATCACAAGAATCCTAGGAGAAAAGTTACTTTATGTATTTATTTATTAATATTCTCGTTGGGGTGGACCCAATATTCACCAACTACTCCAATAATTTTCTAGCCATTAAGCATTAAATTAAATATGAATATATATCATCATATCATATGTTGTCTATAAATAGGAAGTGAGAATCATCTTACAATCATAAAACAAAGAGAAGAGGTTCTTTATATTATTGAATTGATCATGAGGCTTTCTCTTGCTTTGTTTCCTCTTCTATTTGCTTTATTGGTACGTTCACCTTTCATTCTTTCACATTTGTAATATCCTTCATTGTCTTAATCTTATTTTGTTATTTCCTATTCCACATAGTATTCAGGGATTTAAATCAAAGAGTGTTAACAACTAGCATTATTATATAATTTTAAACATTTTTATTTATTTAGAAAATAGTTAAATCTTATTAATTATTGTTATATATATATATATATATATATATATATATATGTGTGTGTGTGTGTGTGTGTGTTACTCAGAATTTGGATAGGATCATATAATAATTAATTATTCAAAACTATCCGGTAATATTTTTTTTTTGTCAATATTCAAATTATTTGGAGTGAATGAAAATATTAAACCAACGTGACATAATATATGAGGGAAAATTAAACATGTCATGCTAACTTTTGTTTTTTTTAATATTTTCTTCCATACTTATAAACTTGGATTTAGATAAATTTGTGGAATAAAATAAATGTTTATTACATTTTATATTTATTAATTACTTCATGTGTTTCAATTTATCTATTATTTTCGCATTGATGTTTTAAAATTTTCACCGATGTTTATATAGTAACTGCAAAAATATAGTTATATTTTTATTATCATTTATAACATGTTAACTATATTAAATTTTATTAATCTTTCATTTTTTTTATAAAACATTTTTCTTATAAAAGAAAAAAGTAAGAAGATAGTGATGATATTAAAAGTCATATATTAATTAAATTTAGAATATTTTAGCAAAAGTATTATTAAATGACGTGTGTTAAAAGTTGATTGTATTTGAGAAAAACAAATATTGATTATAAAAAAATAGATAAATTAAAGTGTGAAAAAACATTGCAAAAATCATAATTATTTGTAGAATGGGTTAAAACTTGAAAATAATTAATATTTAATTCAAAGATTTTCAAATGAGTTATAATTAAGAATTTTTGGAAATAAAAATAAATATTTTATTATGAAATTCATATATTATTTTTTTTAAGAATTTTTTTTAATTATAAACAATTTATATATGTGAAATTTATAATAAAATATTTATTTTTATTTTTAAATGACTCTCTTTAAAGAGGAACATTATGATCCTCTAATGATAGTGATTGAATTTTATAATGTTGGTTGAAATTTATATCTTGCATATATAGTATATAGATATATTGAGTTAGGGACTGATACAAATTTGACAAACTTTAATTTTGTGCTCTCTAATGGATAATTTGTGTGGAGAAGTTAACTGTCACCATAGAGGCAAGGAAAGATACAGGAGAATACTGGAAAATGATAATGAAAGATCAACAAATGCCAGAAGGACTTCAAGGTCTTCTTTCATTCCAATTAGAAAATAATCCTATGACTCAAGAGCAACTTGCTAAAGATTCCAACCATGATTGTGAAGATCCTATTGCTACAAATGCACAAGTTACTTTAGAGAAAAAGGTGTTCACGAAAGATTTAGACACTAAGGTTACTAAAATAAATGACAAGTCACATGTTAACACTGATTTTGAATCAAAACCAAGTGTTAGTAAGTATGGTGATTTTGAACCTAGACCAAGTGTTACTAAATACGATGATTTTGAACCTAGACCAAGTATTACCAAGTATGATGATTTTGAACCCAGACCAAGTATTACCAAGTATGGTGATTTTGAACCAAGACCAAGTGTTACCAAGTATGGTGATTTTGAACCAAGACCAAGTGTTACCAAGTATGGTGATTTTGAACCAAGACCAAGTCTTACCAAGTATGGTGATTTTGAACCAAGACCAAGTGTTACCAAGTATGGTGATTTTGAACCAAGACCAAGTGTTACCAAGTATGGTGATTTTGAACCAAGACCAAGTGCTACCAAGTATGGTGATTTTGAACCAAGACCAAGTGCTACCAAGTATAATAATTAAATGAAAAGGAAAAATATGGTTGAAGAGAACTACACTTCCATATCAATGTATCCAATAAAAATTGTAATGTGAAATATTATCATTTATAAGTAACTTCAACTATCTTTATCCGAAAATTGTGAACATACTTTTATAAAATTTATTAGAAGGAGTAAGATAACTAATTCAATCATACAAAATCAATTCAGTAAGGTGAGAATTGCAGAAATACTTGTTGAATTATTGGCAAGCGTACCAAATTATCAATCGCAGTATAGTATTTCGATTAAATAAAAGTCGATCCCACGAGGAACAGTTTCAATGGAAATTCTCAATTATGCTTACTAAGTAGATTAAAACAGATTAGGTTTTGCAAATAAGAGTTGAATTGAAATTAAATGACAAAGACTTGTAAATTGTTGAGAAAATATCAATTAAAGGTACTTAGGATTGACTTCCTTCCTTATCCCTCTTTTGTAATGACTAAATCAATTAAGAACGTCAATTAACCTAACAATGTTGATGCCACCTACTCAAATTATCCATGTTGATTCCTCACACATGAAATTCATAAGAAAACCTAATAAATGTTGATTCCTCACACAATTAACAGATTTTCCAGCATTAGGGTTAGGGTGTTAAGCAATTGATACATTCATTCCATTCCTGGCAATTAACGTAACAAATATTCTTACCGTGATCTAGGGTTCAAGATATATTTTCTAATCATACCTCAAACAATCAAGAATAAATCATTCCAAAACATAAAAGATAAGAATAACAACATCAAAGCATATATTAATATATCAAAATATCACCATGGTACAAAAGAGTTCAAAGGAAGTGCACCGAATCCTAAGAGAATGAAGTTAGTCACTCATGTTGGTCATTACAATACTTCAATTGATGAAGAAGAATTGATGAAGATTGGACAAAACCCTAACAGTACTCGTGCCTCCTCTCCTCCAAGACTGCTTGCTTTTCTCAAAACACAACTTATCTTTTTATAAGAGAATTTGGGTCGGGCCTCGCATCATTTATTCGCTTAAGCGCTCTTCTTTCTTTCAATTTTACTCTAATTATACTGACAATTATGCTCATTCCTTTTGTATCAAGGTATTCTCGAATTCATCCTATATTGGGAGAAAAATATATTAGAATTAACATAAGTTAAGTGGTTTCATAACAATTTAAGGCATAATTATATCAACTTTTTACCACTTAACAGAATTGTACTTACATATATATTACAATATTATCGTATTTTTAGTTGACGTAAGATTTCATCACATCTTCTCATCTTAAGAGAGATTTTTTCATGTTTCAACATTGTTAAGGTGAGTTCTGGTACTATATTAGAAATGACGAGATATCTAACTCAATCTTTTAAAATAAGTACGGTAAAGTGAAAATTGTAGTCACCATATAATATTATGATCACTACTATAAATTTATTTATTTCTTGCCATTTTTTTCAAAAAATATTTATAATGTTTTCAACAAAAAATTATTTACGGAAAATAATTGTCAATTTTCTTGCAAAAAATATATTTATAAGAAATGGTTAGAATTTTTTTGCAAAAAATTATTTATAATAAATGTCTACAAATTTATTGCAAATATATAAAAAAATTGTGCAAATAAAAATTTGAAAGAAAATTAGTAAAAATTTAAATTTATTTATTGAAAATTTTTTTTAATACAAATTTACAGGAAATGTTTGATAATATTTAAATAAGTGATAAAAAAATTTGCAAAAAATATTTTTTATGAATTGTTTACAAATTATATTTTGTAGGAAAATAAAATAGAATATTTAAATTTATTATTTTAAAATAATTAAAACAATTTATTTAATAAAATATTTTTAATAAAAAAATATACAATAGAATAATTCAATAAAAACATAATAGAATAATTTCCTACCAATTTTGTTTATCATTTCAAGTTAGATGTAATAAAGGACGACTCATTATTTTTTCTTATCGTGAACTACGAAAGCCCTTAACACCTAGTGGAGCTAAGTTTGTTTTTCTTATAGGATAAAGCAATGCATAAAAAAGAGCCACGAATACAATTGAGACAAGTTACCTGGTAGAAATCACTATATTACTTAAAATATTTTGATGCTTGAGGACATAAATTCCTTTTCTTCTCATTCTCTTCTCTTTTTTATGGAGAGAAACTCTTAACATTGCTCTCCATAGTAGATTTACTGAAAGCCAACATTGCTTTGGTAGATCTATGTTAAGTGGTAAAAAGTTAATATAATTATGCCTTGAATTGTTATAAAACCACTCAACTTAGATTAATTCTAATATATTTTTCTCCCAATATAGGATGAATTTGAGAATACCTTGATACAAGAGTAAGGAACATAATTGTCAGCATAATTGGAGTAAAACTAGAAGAAGAAATAAGATTTTCAGCATGGAAGTCGCTCGAGCGAGATGGACTCTCGCTTGAGCGAATATCAGTTATTCTTCTTTGGAAGTCATTCGTTCAAGCACAAGAAAATTCGCTTAAGCGAATATCAGTTATTCTTCTCTGGAAGTCAGTCACTCAAGCGCAAGAAAATTCACTTGAGCGAATGTTAGTTATTCTTCTCTGGAGTTCACTCGCTCAAGCGAGCGTTTTGTCGCTTGAGCGAAAATAGGAAACTTTCGCTTGAACGAAAGACGTGAGACCCAATTTTTCCTATAAAAAGATACGATGTGTTTTGAGAGAAGCAAACGGTTTTGGGGAAAAGAGGCGCGATTACTGCTAGGGTTTCGTCCAATCTTCATCAATTCTTCACTTCTTCCTCATTTGGAGCATTGTAATCGCCAACATGAGTGACTAACTTCATTATCTTGGGATTTTGTGCACTTCCTTTGAACTCTTTTGTATCATGGTGATATTTTGAGATATTAATCTATGTTTTGATGTTGTTATTCTTATCCTTTGTGCTTTGGAATGATTTATTATTGATGTTTGGGATATAATTGGAAAATATATCTTGAACCCTAGATCACGGTAAGAATATTTGTTACGTTAATTGCCATGAATGGAATGAATGTGTCAATTTTTTAACACCCTAAACCTAATGCTGGAAAATCTCTTAATTGTGTGAGGAATCAACATTTATTAGCGTTTCTTATGAATTTCATGTGTGAGGAATCAACATTGATGATTTGAGTAGGTGACATCAACATTGTTAGGTTAATTGACGTTCTTAATTGACATAGTCATTACAAAAGAGGGATAAGGAAGGAAGTCAATCCTAAGTGCCTTTAATTGATCTTTTCTCAACAATTTACAGTTTTTTGTCATTTAATTTCAATTCAACTCTTTTTGCAAAACCCATTATGTTTTAATCCACTTAGTAAGCATATAATTGAGAATTTTCCTTTAAACTGTTCCTCGTGGGATCGACTTTTATTTAATCGAAATACTATACTGCGATTGATAATTTTGATACGCTTGTCAATAATTCAACAAGTATTTCTGGCGCCGTTGCCGGGGAGCGGTGTTCTTTGAGAATTATTTGTTTAGCTTATTAAGTATTTTATTTTTATTTCTGTTTTGTTTTTTTTTCAGTTTTATTTTGCTTAATTATTGTCTTGTGCTAATCTTTGCTTGAGTTACTCTTTTGATTTATGCATTTAAGATGACAGGTATCTTCAGAGCAGTTAGAATTTAATCCGGAGATTGAAAAAATCGCTCGGAGGAACCGGGGTAGAAGAAGAAGAGAAACTCAAGAACAAGCCACAGGAGAATCGGTTAACTCTCCTTTCACACTTAATTTACCAGACCCAATTATAGAAGACATGACAGAAGACGAAACAAATCTGAATCCAAATCCAAATCTAAATCCAAATCAAAATCCAGATTCAAATCCACCTAGAAGAACACTCAGAAACTATGTTATGCAGCAAGGTCTAAGACATTTTTCCAGCATTGCCGTACCGGACGACCAAACATTGCAGATGAATCCAGCTTTCTTAAGTTTGATTAGTGCTCATCAATTCATTGGATTGGATCATGAAGACCCTTACATTCATTTGTCTACTTTTTATGAGTTGATTGGTACCATGGGATTTAGAGCAGCAAATCTTGAATATGCATATTTGATATTATTTCCTTTTTCTTTGGTAGGTAGGGCAAAGGAGTGGCTGAAAGTACATCCTAATTAGAGTTTGACTGATTGGAGTAATGTAGAAGAGAAATTTTTGAACATATATTTTCCACCATCCCGCTACATCAAAGCGAAATCTGACATCACTTCTTTTAGACAAGGAGTAGATGAATCTTTTTATGAAGCATGAGAGAAATTTAAATCACTGTTGAGAAGATGCCTAAATCATGGATTTAAAGACATTGCTCAATTGAATATTTTTCTATACTGACCTGCGACCTGATACAAAGATGCTATTAGATGCTGTAGCAGGAGGATCCATGCTAGATGTAGAAATCGAACATGCTACAAGAATTATTAATACACTAGCCTTTACAGACCAACAAGTCCAACATGATAGATATCCAACTCAAAAGAAAGGAATGTTGGAGCTTAACACTTCAGATGTTATGCTAGCTCAGAATAAAATTCTGACTAAACAGATGGAAGCATTGACTCAACAAATAGCGAAGCTACCTTAACAAATACATGTTATTCAAGCTTCTCCTGATCAACCATTCATGAAATGTGACTTGTGTGGAGGTGATCATTCAAATGAACAATGCTCTTATCAAGACAACATTCAACAAGAAGAAGCTAATTATATGGGTGCTCAAGATAGTAGTCAAGGGAGACAAGGTAATTTCCCTAATTCTAACAATTATCAGAATAATTTTGCACAAGGATGGAGAGGGAATCAGAATCAGAATCAGAATTTTGGATGGAAACAATGTGCTAGTTCATCTACTAGACAACCTACATTTCAACAACAATCATATCAGCAACCTCCATATCAACAACAACAACAACATTATCCTTCAATGCCTGACAGAATGAGTAAATTGGAGGATACTTTAGAAAAATT